GGGATCCCCATCCCTGCCAGGCTGGGATGGTCGGCATTGCAGGACACAAATGCCTCTGGTGGGTGTCCGGGGGGCTGACGCTGTGCTTGTGCCCCCCCCCCCCCCCAGTTGTGCTCATCGGGGACTCTGGGGTGGGGAAGAGCAACCTGCTCTCACGCTTCACCCGCAATGAGTTCAACCTGGAGAGCAAGAGCACCATCGGGGTGGAGTTTGCCACAAGGAGCATCCAGGTGGACAACAAGACCGTGAAGGCTCAGATCTGGGACACGGCCGGGCAGGAGCGGTACCGGGCCATCACCTCAGCGTGAGTTTCCTTGCTCCCCACCCGTGTCCCTCAGCTGGGGCCCTGCTGTGACCTTGTCCCCTTGCTGTCCCCCAGGTACTACCGGGGGGCGGTGGGAGCACTGCTCGTCTACGACATCGCCAAGTACCTGACGTACGAGAACGCCGAGCGCTGGCTGAAGGAGCTGCAGGACCACGCTGATGCCAACATTGTCATCATGCTGGTGGGCAACAAGAGCGACCTGCGGCACCTGCGGGCCGTGCCCACCGATGAGGCCAGGAGCTTTGCAGGTATCTCCCCCATCCTGGCCCGTCCCATCCCATCCCGGGGCAGCTGTAGCTCACGGCACCCGCCTGAGCTCGTCCTGTCCTTGCAGAGAAGAACGGGCTGTCCTTCCTTGAGACGTCTGCTCTGGATTCCACCAACGTGGAGACGGCTTTCCACAACATCCTCTCGGGTAAGGGGCAACCAGGAGAGGGAGGGTGGGATGATGGAGATGGTTTCAGACACTGTGTCCTCCCAGGACACTGCTGGGGACCCTGGCTGTACGTTCTGGGGTGGGATTCTGCTCCCCTGGACGGAGAGTTGTGGGGCTTTGCACGCCTTGAGCTGTGTGTTTTGGGAGGGGGCGGGTCCCCCACTGAAACAAATACTTGAAGAATTTTTTTCTTCCTTCTTTTCCCTCTCTGCTGGCAGAGATCTACCGCATCGTGTCACAGAGGCAGATCACTGGGCAGCCGGACTCAGAGTTTGGCCCCACCACGACCATCGAGCCCATCCGGGTGCTGCCCACGCAGCAGGAGGGCAGGCAGGCACCCTGCTGCCAGAACATCTGAGCCCTTTGGGGTGCCCCCACCCTGACACCCCCACCACCACCCAGCATGTGCTGGCATCGCGTTTCTCACCCTCTACCTCTGCTCGTTGCAGCTCCCCAGAACAGGTCGGGCTTCTGCACGGCTGCTCTTGTGTGCACCATCATGCTGCCTGTGTGTTGCTCTCCCTGTGTTTATGTAGGACCTACACAAACTGGGGGGGTAGGTAGGGGAGCATCAGAGTCTCTCCCTTCTCTTCCCGTGGTTTGGGACATGCCATCCCCTCGTGTCCCTGCTTTTCCCAGCCCTGAAGGTGCCATCACTGGGTGACTCAGGGTGGCACTGAACAAGCCCAAACCTTGCGACTCCCTCGTTTGGTGCCACATTTTTGTGGCACCTTTGGGTGCAGCCCTTCAGGGTGGGGTGGGGGGGACACACTGGGTGCACCTTTGTCTTGC